ATAGTTCATGACTGTTCATAACAGTCATTCAGAATATCATATTAGTACTGGAATCATTCACAAATGATGTTACCGCTTTGAGGTAGCTACCTGTTTTTTTCGATCTCTCAAGATAAAGTGTTCCGTAAGGTACTTCACATAATGATTTCAACATGCTTTACCCGGCTTTCTCGTCGGGAACATCATGCAATCAAGGTGAATCATTCGCCTAGGTTCGGCTTCCTTCGAGGTTGAGCGTAAGGTAAGTACACAGCAATTTTATTTCTAAATACGCTCTCTACTTGTCATAGAAACTGTACTAACAGCTTTTTTTAAACTTTTAGAAAAATTTTGATTGTTATTTCTAAAACAGCTTCAGCCTCAGACTTCCTCCCATGTACTTATCAATTATATTGCCCATAAACTCGAAAAACGTTATTGTTGAAAAGGATTTTTCACGTGATGAAGACGTGCATGATTCACAACTGGAAGAATTGTATCGAGCAGTTACAGCTCTGGATACAGTGAACACATCAACTGCTAAATCAAATTGCTTTCATCCACTTCAACATACATCGAATACCTATCCAAGTACAGTTTCAGCAACCACCGCTGATATTCAACTGACCTGCTCACCCTGCAAGCCAGAAAATTATGAAGCAGACAGCACAGATAGTGAAATATTGAGTGGAAGACGAGCGATAACTGGACGGTTTTTGCATTTTACCTCAACACCGAAAATATGCTCAAGCGTTAAGGTATTTAATTAGTTTCTAAGCGATATTGCGTTGTTTAGAACTGTTCTTTTTATTTAGCGCAATACGCATTTTCGATCAAACCGTACCAAAACAACACCGAGACAACAGACAGAAGATATTTTGCTTCCGGTGGATGATGGCAGAATATCACGATTATACAAGAACAGTTTTGACGAGTTGTGCGGTTGGTTAATAGGTGTGTTAGAAAGTGGTATGCTGGTTTCCCTCATAAACTTGAAGTCAAGATACACAAGTATTCTGCAGAAAAGAAACGAAAAAGTAAGTGAATCAATTGTCCGATCGGATTCTATTCGTGTAAGACTTGAAACTAAATATCAACAACAGCTTCAGTTTATCAAGATCAGCAATTATGATGGCTTATATGTGGCATTGAATGACAATTCATTTTACGCAAAAATTCTTCTTGAAATATAGAGGCGTACACCTTATAATAACGATTCTAGTCCTCCCATTTATAATAAACATGAACCAAATTGGAAAACTAAATGTGAAACATTGTTTAACGCCTTGAATATATTGCGTACAGATCTATTGGACAATAAACATTATTTTGATCGATTAAAACAGCAATACCAATTGCTGGGAGATTTTACGTCAGGGTTATATTGGGAATTTGTTCCCGTTATTTTAAAAAATTTTATCGGATTATTAACAACAAGCGAAAGAAAATATACAAATATTCGACGTAACTATACGCATTACAACGCGCTAAACACTGATTTATTTAAAACATCGAAAAAATGGCTGAAAATATCATCGATTTGCTATGATATCATCAGCGGTCAAAATGAACACATTGTGACGCCAAAACAATATCTACTGGCTAACGAGATCATGAAGCATGAACGTTCGTACCGATTAGTGACCTTATTCACAGTTTCATTCTTTTCACTTGCTTTTTCAAATGTTTTGCTCTATTATTAACAGATAGCGGATTTAGCTCTTGGCTATTAATGTCGCATCTGGATAAATGTATTTAGTCTTCGTTTA